ACACCACTGCACTCCATTCTGGGCAACAAAGCCAGACCCTTACAATTACAACCAACACCTTTGCTTCTGTATCCCGCGAGTCCTAATGATGTGGGATAGTAACTGAAATGTGGTATCTGTTCACCATGTACTCAACTCTTCGAGAGCATATACACTATGGAGACAGCCTGAGCATGCAGTCTATAAAAGTGGAATGAGTGGTTCTAAATATCCAAAGGTTAAAATTCCAGAAATAAACAACAGAAAGGAGAGTTAGGCATTAAGAGATAGTGCCGCAGACCTTGGTGGACTGAACAAAGGAGGACAAATGTGGGAATAAAGACAAAGACAAAAGAGTATATTTGGATAAAGGGGTCAGGGGGCTCCTTGCTTCTAGTGAACAAGGGTCCTGAGCTGCTAGAACCCTTCATATTTATTGAGTAAAGGAGATAGGGAGAAGGGGGTGGTTGTGGTCAGCTGCTTGACTTAGTGCAGGCCTGCATGACTACATTCTTTGAACAGTAGGCTCCAGATGTCCCAGAAGATAACCTCAAGGGGCACAGAGCCAGGGAATGAGGCCCTCAGTGTACCTTCTGGTGGCAGACACAGATGCGAGTTTGCCCACATCCTGCATTCATGATAAACAGTTTGCTGTTTAATCATATAGCTTAAGTGGAGTGCTGAGTTGGTCACGACCCTCAGATTTTCGGCTCCCAACAAGATAGCAGAATATACCTCCCCAAAATATGCAGATTTGATATAAGAATTATTTTGAGCTGAAGGCACTTGAAGAGCAGTAGGTATAAGAAGGGCCCTCTGGCCCCTCTTCCTGAAAGCAGGTGATGAACCCTCCATGGGAAAGGTGCTTGCCTCTACCAGGGGGAGAAACAGCATAACTAGGCATGGGGACTGAAGTGCAGTGAAATGTGTACAAACAGGCTTTGTTAAAATAGCTCTTATCACCGGGTAGAGTGGCTTACGCCTATAATCCCAGCACTTTAGGAGGCCAAGGCAGGCAGATCACCTGAGGTTAGGAGTTCCAGCCCAGCCTGGCCAACATGAAACCCCATATCTACTTAAAAAAAAAAAAAAAAAACATCAGCTGGGTGTGGTGGTGTGCACCTGTAGTCCCAGCTACTTGGGAGGCTGAGGCAGAATTGCTTGAACCCAGGAGGTGGAGGTTACAGTGAGCCACGATCACACCACTGCACTCCAGGCTGGGTGACACAGTGAGACTCTGCCTCAAACAAACAAACAAACATAGTTCTTACCTTCCTCCAGCCTCCCTGGGTATTCCAGTTGCTTTCTCATAATTACTACCCTTTGTCCATCCAGTGGATAAGCACTTAGGCCTAACTGCTCTTGAGGTCTTCATTTTGCTGTGAAGGCGCCCATGTACATGTAAAAGTAAAACGTATATGCTTTCTCCCGTTAATCTGTCTTCTTTCATTTTAGTCTATGCAGGCTGCTATAACAAAATGCTATGGGCTTGGTGGTTAATAAGTGACAGGACTTTATTGTTCACAGATCTGGTGGCTGGCAAGTCCAAGGTCAAGATGCCAACAGATTCAGCTTCTAGTGAGATCCTGCTTTCTGGTTCACAGACAGGGCCTTCTCACTGTGTCCTCATGTGGTGCAAGGGGTAAGGGGAAAATAAATCTCTGGAAGGGCACCAATCCTATTCATGAAGGCTCCACCCTTATGGCATAATTACTTTCCAAAGAACCCCATCTCCTAACACCATCACCTTGGAGGTGAGGATTTCAAAATATGAATTTTGAAGACAAACATTCAGTTCATAACAATCTGGATTTGTTTTTCTGTGGCCCAGTGGACTCTACTGTTGAGGAGTCTGAATTGAAGACATAAAGAGGCCACGGCTCTCTCACCCTATTTTCAGGAGCCCCTCTTCTTTTCTGTTTAATTCAGCACATATTAAATTACATGAGCACTTAAATTTTGCTCTCTAATCTTTTCTACAATGTTAATAACTTAGTGGGAGCTACATTCAATAAGGGCAAAGGATATTTATCTTGTAACAGTGTAAGTAAGACTTGTGTTTAAAGACTGACATTGCTGATCCTTTGCTTAAATAATTAAAAAAAAAAAAAAAAAAAAAAGACAATCCACAGCAGTGGTATACAATTTAAGAATTCCAAAAGGATATATAGTGAAAATTGAGTATCCCTTAATTAGGGGGTTCCTCAGTCCTTAATTTCCCTCATCAGATGGAGTTTCTTGTTTTTCAAGAGATACATATACAATAATTGTTTACCTAAATAGTAGCAAACTACATATATTCTACATCCTGCCTTTTATTAAACCTAACAATTTATCAGGACATGCAACTGCTATCTGATTTTTTTCTTAATGACTTGAGGATATGAAGGTTGTTCCAATTGCTTTATCATGATGATAGATTTCTCACCCCAATAACCAGGTGAGCCTAAAGGAGCATTAATAATGAGCATCTTGGGCTGATGCCACATTTTAACAAGTATTTGTTGAATTCCCCCACATCATGCTGGTATAGGGGGGAGCCTGTGAATTAAACTGACCAAAGACAGACAGGAGAAAGGCATCCACATTGTATTGATCTTAATATTTTTATGTGCATGGGGTGTACAGGAAAGAAGTGAAAACCCAAAGAAGTTGTTAGGCTCAGCTGCTTGTAACCCATTTGTAACGAAGGGTGACAAATTGTCAGCAGGTGACTAGGGCATGTGTGGCGCTATGCGAGATATATATATAGATATAGATATAGATATAGATATATATTCAAGTTTCCCCCTAATTCTGTGATTCCGTTTTCCCAATTGAAGGAAACCTGCAGCTCACAATCCCCTCACTGATGCAAATGACAGGCAGAGGATTGGGTAGGGGTGGAGAGTGTGAAAGGAGAATAAATCTTGGGCCCCAAAATCACTAGCTAAAAGGAAAAGTCACACTGGGAACTGCTTAGAGCAAACCTGCCTCCCATTCTATTCAAAGTCATTCCTCCGCTCACTGAAATAAATGTATATCTGATGGCCTCTTTTGGAAAGGCTAATCAGAAACTCAAAAGAATGCAACCATTTGTGTCTTATCTACCTATGACCTGGAAGCCCCCTCCCCACTTCCAGTTGTCCCACCTTTCTGGATGAAACCAATGTTCATCTTACATGTATTGATTGATGTCCCATGTCTCCCTAAAAGGTATAAAACCAAGCTGTGCTCGGACCACCTTGGGCACATGGCTGTGTCATGGGTGTGCGTCCTTAACTTCGGCAAAATAAACTTCCTAATTGAAACTAGTCTCAGATATTCAGGGTTCACAAGGGTAATTCACTTAATCACCCAGTGTGCACAGCCAGCCCGCACCTGTCAGCACACAGACCCCTTTCTGTGTGCAAGTGATGAGAGACCACGGAAGAAACACTCTACTAAGTGAGCCCAGGGAAAGCCAGCCATCTATGCCTGTGGCCAGCTGTGTACACCCGCACACCCAGGAGACTGCAGAACGGTGCCTCTTAGCCTTCGAGGCCCTGTTTTCCTCTCCGCCTGCATCCCCTGTGTGGGCCAAGCCTTAGTTTCTTCATCTGTTCTCTCTCCCCAATCCCAGGACTCTGACTCGGAGCACACAGGCCTCTGGCCCCTTTTCCTGAAAGCAGGAAATGAACCCTACGTGTGAAAGGTGCATCCCTCTACTGGAGGATGAAGCATCATGACTAGGCATGGGGACTCAAGGCCAGAAGAAATGGCCACCATCCAGGACCTGGGCAGGGCTGGGGGTGGCATTTTGGCTGAAACAGTAAGAGACTTTTAAACCAGAGCGACTCCATCTTGTATAGAGGCTGGGTAAGATAAGGCTGAGAGCTGCTGGGCTGCATTCCCCAGAAGTTAGACATTCCAAGTCACAGGATGGGATAGGAGGTTGGCACAAGATACACATCATAAAGACCTTGCTGATGAACCAGCATGTGATGAAGAGGCCGGCAAAACCAAGATGGCGACCAGAATAACCTCTGGGCATCACGACTGCTCATTATACGCTAATTATAATACATGAGCATGCTAAGAGATACCCTCACCAGTGCCACAACAGTTTACAGATGCCAAGACAAGGTCACACTTACCCTATATGGTCTAACAAGGGGAGGAACCCTCAGTTTCTGGAATTGCCCATCCTTTTCCTGGGAAACTCATGAATATCCCACCCCTTATTTAGCATATAATCAATAAATAGCCATAAAAATGGGCAACCTGCAGCCCTCCGGGCTGGTCTGCCCATGGAGTGGCCACTCTTTATTCCTTTATTTTCTTAATAAACTTGCTTTCACTTTACTCTATGGATTTGCCCCGAATTCTTTCTTGCCTAAGATCCAAAACCTTCTCTCAGGGTCTGGATCAGGACCTGTTTCTGGTAACAAAACCACCTGGGGTGTCGGCAAGACCCACCCTGTCCCCCCTCGCCCCAGGTGACCTGACCTGCCAGGTGGTCCCTGCAAACCGCTCCGCCCACAGGATTGGGACGCCCCTCTCTGGACCCTCAGCTTGATGCTGACTGCCCACCATGTGGGCAGACCTGGGGGCTGGCTGCTCCTGGGGACCCCCTTCATAGCTTTTCAACCGGCACTCACTCCTGCTGCCTCGCCCCCACCCCAGCCCCCACAAACTCCTCTCCATCCCCTACCCCAACCAACTTAGCCCCCACCTAACCCTCCAGCCTGGGGCTCGTGAGCCCTCCTGCAGCCCCAACCCCAGGTTGAGAAGCCTCTTCCAATCACACTCCCCAGACCCTGACGCTCGCATGGCTGCCCCTTGCCCCACCAGCTGTCCCCATTCCACTCCTAACCCCCAAGTAACCCCCCCAACTCCCATCCCCCTCCACACTCCCTTAACCTCCCCTAAAAATCCCACCCCAGGCCAACAAGACTGCTCCCTTCGCTGGGCTGTGAACCACATCCTCCCCACCGCCCAGTAAGCTCCCCGCTGCGCCCTCCCCTGGCCCGTCCTGAGCCTCCCACCCCCGGCCACCTTCCTTCCCCAAGTCACTCCCAACCTCTCCTAAGAGGCGCCGCCCCCATTCCAGCCGACGCTCTCTCCCTCGCCCAGCACTCCCCTTCCCCGGCTCCCACCGCCCCACCGCTGACGCCACAAAGCCCCTGGACCGCCCGACCCCACGCCCCCACGCCCCTGGCCCGGCCGTGGCCCCCTGGACTTCGTGGGGGCAGACCCAGCCTTTCCCCGCAGCGAGCGCTCGGCCGGGTGCGCTAGGCGCTGTGCAGGGCCCCCCGCGGTGAGTACCCCCGCCTAGGCCACCCTCCTGTGGTGCCTGGGCCACGACCTAAGCCTAACCCGGTCCTCCTCGCCCTCCAACGCCCGGCCTTCCCGCCTCAGCCGGCCGCCGCGTCCCTACAGGGGCTAGCGCGCTTGGACAAGGTAACTCTACCGGGACCCTAGCGGACCAGAGCGGGAAGGATGGCCATCCCCGCAGCCAGAGCCAGAGCCCCACGCCCCCTGCCGCTGCCCCTGCCCGGCTTCGGTGCGGGTGGACTGGGTGCCTCAGTTAGGGCTCTTGGGGGGAAGGAGGGGGCTGGCGCCGGGTGGTTGGCGTGCAGAAAGCTCCGAGAAAATGGAAGTGGGACAGAGCCGGGGAAGTCTGAGACCCCTAGACACCTTCGCTTTAGGGGATGGCAGAAGGGAAGGGGAGACTCGTGTTTGCAGTGTAGACGCGATTTTCAATTCCCTTTGCCACTGGGTCCCCATAGCAACCCCGTGGCGTAGGCGGAAGGCTGTGACTCTCCATTGCCCGGGGTCGCGGGTGTTCAAATTGCAGGGGGCGTCTGTGTGCACGCTCGTGTGCCTGTGCGTGGGTACGCGCGCGTACCTGTGTGTACATGCATGCATGTGTACAGATACGTGCATCTGTGCCTGTGTGTGCTGTTTGTGGATGCCTGTTTCTGTGGATGCGCGTTTCTGTATGTTTGTACGTGTGTATTTGTGTGGTGTGTATGCATGGGTGTGCGTGTGTACACATACACGTTTGTATACATGCATGGGGTATGTGTATGGGTGTGTGTTCGTCTGTGCGTGTATGCACGTGTTTGTGCGTGTGGGCACGTGTATGCACACACGTTTTTTCTGAACCCCACCTCACTAAAAGGAAGAGAGCTTTTTTCCTCTGAGAGCCCATCCCGTTTTCCTTTGGTGAACGGGGTTTTGTTAAATAAAAAATTCTTCTGATGCTTTGAAGGCTCTTTAGTCAGGTTACTTGCAATGGGAGTGTTGGCCAGCAAAGACCGCTGGGGATATATGCGGGAATGGGAGTGGGGATCTGGGGGTGGTTAGTGGTTGGAAAGTGATTAAGGGAAGGCTCCAAGGGTAGGGGCTTCTCCCTAAGCTGACCTAGCAGGCTGCTCCAGAAAGGCAGGTTGAAGGCCTAGAGGAGGAACTGATCAGATGTGGAGCTGGGGGTAGCCAGCAGCAGGCAGAAGTGGTCCAGGCCCAGTGGAGAGGAGAGGCAGAGGGGCCTGGCAAGCATTGGTCAGGGAGGGTCTGTGTAGTTTCTGGGGAGGTATCTGTGTCGGTTATTGACAAGGCTAAAAAAATGATGACTCTGGACCCTCTAACTGGACCGCAGTCCTAGCCCTCCTCTGTAAAGGGAGGCTATACAGGAAGGTTGCACACTGCCAGCACCCAGAGCATCGGGCCCGCTCCCTCCCACCTCTCTCCACAGCCCCTCAACTTGGGAACCCGCCTCGTGTCTCCCAGGAGCCATGGAGGCTGTGGAACTCGCCAGAAAGCTGCAGGAGGAAGCTACGTGCTCCATCTGTTTGGACTACTTCACAGACCCTGTGATGACCGCCTGTGGCCACAACTTCTGCCGCGCGTGCATCCAGCTGAGCTGGGAGAAGGCGTGGGGCAAGAAGGGGAGGCGGAAGCGAAAGGGCTCCTTCCCCTGCCCCGAGTGCAGAGCAATGTCCTCGCAGAGGAACCTGCTGCCCAACCGGCTTCTGACCAAGGTGGCCGAGATGGCACGGCAGCATCCTGGCCTGCAGAAGCAAGACCTGTGCCAGGAACACCAGGAGCCCCTCAAGCTTTTCTGCCAGGAGGACCAGAGCCCCATCTGTGTGGTGTGCAGGGAGTCCCGGGAGCACCGACTGCACAGGGTGCTGCCTGCCGAGGAGGCAGTGCAGGGGTACAAGGTGGGCCACAGGTCAAGGAGAGGAGGCATCCAGGGGTCAAGGTGACCCAGATCATGGGGGAAGGAGAAGGTGTCCAGGGACAAAGTGGCCCAAGTCAGGGGCTGGGGAGGGGGCGTCCAGGGAACAAGGTGGCCTGGGGCTGGGGAGTGTCTGTGGGGACAATGTGGGCCTACACTGTATGATGCAGGCATTGCAAAATCTTACCTCTCCTCTCTTATAGTATTTTGGGTGGCTCTGAGAACCAAACTGATTTGAGACAGATGAGCAGAAGCAAAGCACTGAATTTCATTCCCTATAAGCTTTCCATGACCCAGGAGTCCCTCCTGAGGAGCCGGAGGCCCATGGAAGCATGTTAGAGCCAAACACATACCTGAGGAGGATGAGGGTTAGCTTAGCAGGGTCCCTTTGCACAGATTTCTCTGGTTTCAGCTTTCCTCCCTTGGTAAGAACATGGCTTTCCTCCTGGCCTAGGGCAGGCCTATCCGGCATGGTGGGCTGTGCCTTCTGCTCTTAGGAAGGCGGAGGATCACAGCAATTCTTACACTTGCCCTTTTTAAAGTGCTTTTAGCTCAAAATAATCCAAGGTGGCACATTCTGGGTGATGCATTTTGATCCCCTGCCCCTTCTGAGGAGGGTCTCTGGGGTGGGTGCAGTTTCAGCAAGCACAACTGTACTCTAGGCAGGAGGTGGGCAGATCACTGATCCCAAATCCTGCGGTTTGTGTGTCCCACAGTTGAAGCTGGAGGAGGACATAGAGTACCTTCGGGAGCAGATCACCAGGACAGGGAATCTGCAGGCCAGGGAGGAACAGAGCTTAGCCGAGTGGCAGGTGGGTGTCTGGGGCCGTCCAGTCCCTTTCCTGCTGCTGCTCCATCTTCCTGCGTTTACATGTCTGTGTCTGCCTGTGGGGATATGCTGCCTCAGTGGCAGGAAAAGAAAAAAGCTGCCTCCACCCTTCTAGGTTCTATGGCTGGCCTCAGAATGAAACTGACTTAAGACAGATGAACAGCAGAGAAAAAGATAAAAAGGCAATTTTAAATTACAGATGCACACATAGGGTGGGGAGAAGGGACCTCAAAAATCAGACTTAAAGAGGCAGCCAGAGGGTTGGGGCTCAGTACCACAATGGAGGCAGCCAGAGGCTGGGGGCTCAGTACCACAAAGGAGGCAGCCAGAAGGTGGAGGCTCAGGAGGCAGCCAGAGGGTAGGGGCATAGGTCGGCACCACAAAGGAACAGGGCTTGGGGCCTCTGGGCTGGGGAGGCAGATAATGTTGGTTAAGTATTTAAGCAAGTGTCTCAGGTGAAGAGTTGTTTTTGGGAATCTCTTCCTGATGTAGATGCCGTGACCACTGGAAATTTCCTTCATGAAAAGGCACTTTTTTATTTTTATTTTTTTGAGATGGAGTTTCACTCTTGTTGCCCAGGCTAGAGTGCAATGGTGTAGTGTTGGCTCACTGCAACCTCTGCCTCCCAGGTCCAAGCAGTTCTCCTGCCTCAGCCTCCCAGGCAGCTGGGACTACAGGTGCCCGCCACCATGCCCAACTAACTTTCGTATTCTTAGTAGAGACGGGGTTTCACCATGCTGGTCAGGCTGGTTTTGAACTCCTGACCTCAGGTGATCTGACTGCCTCGGCCTCCCAAAGTGCTAGGATTACAGGCATGAGCCATCGCGCCAGGCCAGGCACTTTATTTTTTTAGGCAGCTAATGGGGGAGGCAAACAGGTTTTCCTGCTTCTGTGGGTTCTCAATGGCCTTTAGTTCACCCTAATCCTAATGCCTGTCAAAACACAAAATCAAAACAGATTTAGAGATGTGGAGCGCAGTGATGCGATCATTGCTCACTGCAGCCTCAAACTCCTGGACTCAAGTGATCCTCCTGCTTCAACTTCCTGGGTAGCTGGGACTACAGGCACTTGCCACCAAGATCGGCCTTTTTTTTTTTTTTTTTTTTTTTGTGTAGAGACATGGTCTTGCTATTGCCCAGGCTGGCCTTGAACTCCTGAGCTCAAACTATCTTCCCACCTCAGCCTCCCAAAGCACTGGGATTACAGGTGTGAGCAACTGCATCCAGCTAAGAGGAAAGATTTATTTGTAAGGCCACCAAGTGAGGAGGGAGAACAGCTCTTAAACTCGCCTCCCGAGTGATACAGCTTAGGAGTCTTTATGAGCTAGGGAGGCAGGGTGGTCCAGCAGGCCCATTCTGTGCAGGTGTCTCTGGGGTGCATGGCATTTCACAGGACACAGGTACCAGAAATGGCAGCCTTAGCATGATCTGAGGTTGGAAGTTTTGGCCCTCTGACATCAAAAGGCCACCTCGGGCACTGGGACAGGTCCACTTGAAGGGCAGATGGTCTCAACCAGTTTCAGCTGGACAGGAGCTGCCCCACGTTCCTGAAGCAACCAGTCCCATGGTGGCCTATGAATATTATCTATAAAGCAGCCAGTGAAGGTTGGTCAGCATTCAGAGGCACAGCCTTCAGCTTCATGGAAATAGGAAAAATAAAATAACAAAAAGCAATCAGGGCAGGCTGACCTGATCAATGAACCCCTTGGTTTCATTAGCACCAGTGACTCTATTCTGGTTGGGTCTGGTCTTCTGGGACCTAGCACAGGAGCCCAGTTCAAAACAGTGGCCCCTGAGGATCACTTGAGCCCAGGAGTCTGAGACAGCAGTGAACCATGATCATGCCACTGAACCCCAACCTGGGCAACACAGCAAGACCCTGTCTCTAAAAAAAAATTAAAAATTAGCTGGGCATGGTGGTAGTGACACATGTCTGTAGTCCCACTTACTTGGAAGGCTAAGGTGGGAGGGTCACTTGAGGCCAGGAGGTCAAAGTTGCAGTAAGTTGTGGTTGTGCCACTGCACTCCAGCCTGGGCAACAGAGCAAGACCCTGTCCCTACACAAAATTTAAAAACTAGCTGGATGTGGTGGTGCATGCCTGTGGTCCCAGTTACTCCGACGACTTGAGCCCAGGAGGTTGAGGTTGCAGTAAGTGCCACTGTACTCCAGCCTGGGCAACTGAGCGAGACCCTGTCTCAAACAAAACAAAAAACAATGGCCACCCATAAATTTTGTTTAACATGCCCAAGAGGCTTATTTGGGGGTGAACATTCTGAACCTCCTCAGAGCAAGGGTGCATGGGTGTTTGGATGTGTGGAAGTTGCAGTTTGGGGCTCAGAGGGTTATACTCAGTGTATCACAGGATAGCAGGGGTGGCGGCCTCTGTCACAGTTCCTGGTCCCCAACTAAAGCTCAGGTTGCTGGTGATCTGTGGGTCACCAGGGCCCTGGGGAGAGGTGCCAGCATCCCTGGAGCCGAGCCACCTGCTGGCGACATGCCGGGCTTCTCCACCCTGCAGGGCAAGGTGAAGGAGCGGAGAGAACGTATTGTGCTGGAGTTTGAGAAGATGAACCTCTACCTGGTGGAGGAAGAGCAGAGGCTCCTCCAGGCTCTGGAGAGGGAAGAGGAGGAGACTGCCAGCAGACTCCGGGAGAGCGTGGCCTGCCTGGACCGGCAGGGTCACTCCCTGGAGCTGCTGCTGCTGCAGCTGGAGGAGCGGAGCACACATGGGCCCCTCCAGATGCTGCAGGTGAGCTGGTGGGCTTGGCAGGCAGGGGGGGATGTGAGCTCTGACAGGCATGGGCAGCGGGGGCTGAGCTTGGGGAAGAGGCAGCCAACAGGAAAGGGCTGTTAGCTCCCCAGTCTCCTAGTCCTGGAGGCTGGGTGGCTGAGGCCAAGGTGTGGGCAGGCCTGATTTCTCCTGAGCCTCTCTCCTGGACCTGAAGATGCTGTCTCCTCCCCGTGTCCTCACAGCATCATCTCCTTCTATAAAGACACCAGTCAGACTGGATTAGAGCCCACCCCAGTGACCTCAACTCCCTCCTTAAAGATGCTATCTCCAAACACAGTCACATTCTGAGGTCCTGAGAGTTCAGGCTTCAACCTGTGAATTTGTGGGGACACAAGTCAGCCCCGTACAGGTTCCAACCTGAGACAGTGTCCCCATTTCCTTCCAAGTCCAGAGAAGTGGCTTGGACACCTAGCAGCCAGGTGCGGCTCTGGGACAGCGACTCCATGTCTCAGTGTGGGGGAGGCACACTGTCCCAGGAGTGAGTTGTGTGGCAATGGGAGTGGGGAGGTGAAGCAGCCAGCCTGCCTGCCGGGACCAGCTTGTGTGCCATGGCCCTGGAGAGGGGGCTTGATTATGGCTGATGAGATGCCATCTCTACAAAAACTTAAAAATATTAGCAGGGCATGGTGGCATGTGCCTATGGTCCCAGGACTTAGGAGGCTGAGGCAGGAAGATTGTTCGAGCCCGTGAGTTCAAGGCTGCAGTGAGCTATTGCACCACTGCACTCCAGCCTGGGTGATGGTGAGATCACATCTAGGAAAAAAAAAAAGAAAGGAAAAGGGAAAACAAAGCAGCCTGTTCACAACCCACTACATTGGTTTGCTGACCAACTGAGGGGAAAAGCCCCTGCAGCTGGTAGAAGAGTGCTCCTATGAGCAGAGGGCCAAGCGCGTCACCTGCATGACAGTCCCTGCCAAGAGTTAGGGTCACGCTCTGGAAACTAGAAATATGGCCTTTGGAAAACAAGTCCCTTATAGCTTCCAGGCCAGAGAAGTGAACAGTGATCTCTTTAGGGAACTCTGAATCCCTAAAGAGGCTACAGAAAATCCTCAGGTGGCTCAGTCTGTTACCCACCCCCCTCCCTCCCCAAACCGCACCCAATTGCGCCCTGACCCCATTCCTGCTGGGTGGGCCACAACCACCTGAAATAGGAGAGAAGGGTCAGTGTCGAGTGGCCACTTGCCTGGAAGGGATCCCCTCCGCCTCTTCTGAGTTGTAGGACCTCAGGTGTGTGACCGTGGGCTAACAGGGTAGCTCAGCTTAGGTGAGGCACTGGGGTCTTTGGTAGTAGTGGGAACCAGGGCAGTGGGGAAGGCTCAGGAATTCCATGAAGCTCAGTTGTGGGAAGGGAATGCCCAGGGGACAGGACGGGTCTTGCCCTAAGACACGGACAAGAAGGGAGCAGGGACATTGAAGTGAGCCAGGAGCTTGGATCACTCCCCACCCTCTGTCCCTGTCTTTTGCAGGACATGAAGGAACCCCTGAGCAGGTATGTGGTCCCCTCAGGCGGGGGTGGGGGCAGTGGCAGTGGTGGGCCAGAGGGGACAATAAGATTGTGGGACCAGGGGAGTCAATAAGACTGTGCCCACTGGAGGAAGAACAACGTGAGTGTGCAGTGCCCAGAGGTTGCCTCTCCAACCAGACCCAGGACTGTGTGCAGGGTTCCTGGACAGATTGAAGTGCTAAGAGGCTTTCTAGGTAAGTGGGCACCCAGGGCCGGGACCTCTGACCCAGGATCTCTTGGCGATGCCCCACTGCACCCCCCAGCCTCGGAAGCCATCAATGGGGGGGGTCTGCAAGTGCACTGCCTGGTGACGGTGACTGGCTATTCACTGTGCCTTCGTAGGGCGGTGTTACCAGTGGTTCTAATTCATGGGCTGAAGCTTGTTGAGTTCCCAGTGGTCCCTCTGCCCAGCCCCCTGTACCTTATTGCCACCAATACCCACACACAGTTGGGGTGTGGAAGCATCAAGTAACCACAGATTCACAGCAGGGGAGGCCTCTGAGTTAGGGGACCATTTGGCCACATCCACCACTAGGGTCCGGACGCTCCCACCGTTGACCCTGAATGCCCCACACCTTTCCCCATCTCTCTGCTGCTACGCCCATCTACAGAGGATGTGGTGCCTGATGCCACCTCCGCATACCCCTACCTTCTCCTGTACGAGAGCCGCCAGAGGCGCTTCCTCGGCTCTTCGCTGGAGGGCAGCAGGTTCTGCAGCAAGGACCGATTCATGGCTTACCCCTGTGCTGTGGGCCAGACGACCTTCTCCTCTGGGAGACACTACTGGGAGGTGGGCATGAACATCACCGGGGACGCGCTGTGGGCCCTGGGTGTGTGCAGAGACAATGTGAGCAGGAAAGACAGGGTCCCCAAGTGCCCCGAAAATGGCTTCTGGGTGGTGCAGCTGTCCAAGGGAACCAAGTACTTATCCACCTTGTCTGCCCCAATCCCCGTTATGCTGATGGAGCCTCCCAGCCATGTGGGCGTCTTCCTGGACTTCGAGGCCGGGGAGGTGTCATTCTACAGCGTGAGCGATGGATCCCACCTGCACACCTACTCCCAGGCTACCTTCCCGGGCCCCCTGCAGCCTTTCTTCTGCCTAGGGGCTCCGAAGTCTGGTCAGATGGTCATCTCCACAGTGACCATGTGGGTGAAGGGATAGAGATGCAGGCCGGGGAACTCGGGCATTGCCCCTGGCTCTGCAGAAGGTGTGGGCCTTCTGCTTACTGCAGGCCACCTGCCAGGGTTCTTTGGCATCAGGCTGGCAGCCATTAGACATGCAGGGGGTTTCTCAAAGTCTAAATATAATTGTGATTAAAACTGTCAAACATTAAGAGGGTATATATTGACAGATGCTTCCTAGAGGAAACTTTTGAAAGCCCCTGCATTCTGAGTGGACCATTTCTAAATCCATATCTATACACCAAGAAGAGCATAGTCACGTTTTCTTTAGCCATGCCCCCGCCCCCACTTTGGAATGGCACAAATCTGTGGCTCCCAGCCGCCCCCAGGGGTTTAGGTTACTCTGTCAAAGAAGCAGAAATATCCTATGAGGGGGAGGAGCGGGGTTGGTTAGGTTGCTCTGTCAGGGATGGTCCGAGGTTGCCCATGGAAATGTCCTATGCATCCTATTGGGTCCTTTGAAGGGGGAAAATGGGAAAGGCTGAACCCCTAAAAAGCCTCAGAGCTTCCCACCGCCATCCCTTTCGACCCCCGAAGCTGCACGAGCAGGGGCAAAATCCCAAAGAGATTAGGATTTATGTAGGGGCCTCCTTTCCACAACGCCCTTCCCTTTTCCAAGGAACCCCCCACCCACCCCTGCAGGGTCAAGCACTAGCGCGGCAGAATTCCGGAGTCAGCGTACTCCTACCTTGACAAGGCCGGAGTGTCTGCGCGAGGGGCTGCCTGGAACAGCGTGCCCCTTCGGAGTGGTTCCCGCAGAGAGAATGTGGGCCTCCTGGAGGTCCTGGAGGGATGCCCCCGTCGCATCCCCCAACTCCAATCATTCTGACCTTGGCCTGCCAAGGCTGTGAGGGCTGGGCCTTCCGAGGATACCGGCCCTAGGAAGCACGGGCTGAGGGCTGAGGACGCACTAGGGGTATGGCGAGGGGCTCCAATGCCCCAGGCTGCGGGCTCCCTTAGTCCTTGCAGTTGCTTCCGTGTGCCCCGCCCTGAGCCCCCATCCTTCCTAGCTCCGCCCCCTGCCCCAACTCTCCCCGGTAGCCCATTCTGTGTGCCCTATCCCTTCTCCTTGCCCCGCCCCCTGCTCCATCCCTCCCCTGCGCCCCGCCCCCTGCCCCTATCCGCCCCCTGTCCCCATCCCTCCCCTGCGCCTCATTCCTCCCCAGGGCAGGGGTAAAGACCTCGCCACAGGAACCGGAGCGGTGGGGACGCCAAGTCAGCAAGTGAACGCTCTCCAATTCCATCCCGCCTGCGGACCGCGTGACGAGCAGCGGCCAATCGGAGGCAAAAGCGGGTTGTTCCAAAAAAAAAAAAAAAAAAAAAAAACACCCACCCAGTCGCTTCCTGCTTCCGCCTCGGCTCCTCTTCCTGCCGGCATCCGGGATCCCTACGTCCCGCGTCCCCCGAGCACCCGGAGCTTACGCGCCCAGCGCTACCGAAATCCAGAGTCCTGCGCCCTGGAGTCCCTGTGCCCCGGAGCCCGAGCACCCGGGAGTCCCAAGCCTCGCGTCCCGGAGTGCCCGCGCCTGCGCCACCGCACCCGGATACCCAGCGTCTCCGCGAGCTCCCGAGTCTCCCTGCCGCCGCCCCGCGGACAGTACCGCCTTCCTCCCCTCGGTCCGCACCATGGCCGCCCCCGACCTGTCCACCAACCTCCAGGAGGAGGCCACCTGCGCCATCTGCCTCGACTACTTCACGGATCCGGTGATGACTGACTGCGGCCACAACTTCTGCCGCGAGTGCATCCGGCGCTGCTGGGGCCAGCCCGAGGGCCCGTACGCGTGTCCCGAGTGCCGCGAGCTGTCCCCGCAGAGGAACCTGCGGCCCAACCGCCCGCTTGCCAAGATGGCCGAGATGGCGCGGCGCCTGCACCCGCCGTCGCCGGTCCCGCAAGGCGTGTGTCCCGCGCACCGCGAGCCACTGGCCGCCTTCTGTGGGGACGAGCTGCGCCTCCTGTGCGCGGCCTGCGAGCGGTCAGGGGAGCACTGGGCGCATCGCGTGCGGCCGCTGCAGGACGCGGCCGAAGACCTCAAGGTGCGCCTGGGCGGGGGTGGCGCGCAGGGTCATGGGGGGAGCCGGGGACTGGGGAGGCCTGGGCGGGTGGGAGGTTTCGGGACTGCTCCGGGCGTAATCTGTCTCTGTCTGGGGCGGGGAGCTCAGGATGCAGCCTGCCCTGGGCCGGTGAGGAGGGTATCGCGCAAGGCAGCTGTGGGGGCTCATGACAGCCTGTCTCAAGCAGGCCCCGTGAGGCTGGAGCCATGGCCGCCAATGAGACCCTGCTCTCGGGGGTGAGGGGTGTACCTCCCACAGATAGAGGCTAAGAGAGGAAGGTGGAAGGTGGTGGAGTGGAGGCAAGGAAAATGTGGTTATACACTGGCCAGAAAGGAGCCGGGATCAGAGGAAAGTGGGAGAACCTCAGAGGTGGACGATCCTAGATGGACTCCTTGCAGGGACTGTGTTATCAGGTCAGTACTTAAGTCCTGGGAAAGCCCCAGACTGAGCAGGATGAGGGGAAACAGTCGTTTCCTCTCTAACCTCCCCTCCAGGGCTGCCCTGCATTTCAGGGTGGGGTACTGGGAGCCATCTCTGCCATCTGAGATGCTAGGGCTCAGCCCGCCTCTTCTTCCCTTATTTGGCTGCTTAAAACCCAAACAAACCCCAAGCTGAAGGGCCTGGGGCACACGTTCTCCTGGCCTGCACTCCCTCCCGCGGTACTTTCCTGGCTGACCTGCTGCGGGTGTGCTCCTGGGAGCCCACGTGTGGGGTAGATGGCAGCATCTTTGGAGCTTTCTTGATTGCACTTTGTGTGTTGCATCATGGTCACTTGTGTGTGCCAGATTAGCAGTTAAGCCAGTGTTAGTATGGAGCTGGGTCTGTCCCTATCACAGAGAAAACTTCTGGGATACTAGAATAAATCTGAATCTGTCCCCTTCTGCTTTGGATTTTAGCAGAAAGGTGGTTTAAAGCCATATCCGTGGGCTTGTCCAAACACAGGTTCTTGTGGGTTTTCTTTTCGTTCTTTGCCCATGCAGGAATGTCTACACCTCAAACATGTTAGCCCAGCAGAATTACCCTTCTGACACCAATTATCCCCATGGGTGCAGAGAGTGCCCAGTAGCTTTGTAGAGTTGATCTGATATAGTTAATGGGATAGCACTTAACCGTTTCTTTTGCAGGTGAAGAAAAAATTTCCCTCTACCCTATTAGGTTCAGTGGCTGGGGGCTGCAAATTAAACTGGCACAAGACAAATTAACAGGAAAAAAAATCATACAGTTTGATTAATATTTTAAGTTTTACATGCACAAGAACTTCATAGAAAAGTGTATTTCAGCAAAGGTTTGTAAATTGTGGAGAAGTGACTGGACACAGAAACGGGATTCGGCATCTAGGACTGATAAATTGTGGGAAAGTGACTAGGAAATAGATGGGAAGAACTAACACAAGATAATGGTCATTGTAGTAAGGTCTGTTTAGGCAGAATCATCTCCCGGGATTAGAGTGCCCTCCTCTTCCTAGTGGAGGGAGGGTGCCTTTCTCATGGGGAATGAATACCCTACTTCTAGGCAGATAGGAGTACAGAGAGCTCTTCCTGCATCTGCTTTTACTCAGAATAATCCTTATACCACAGCAGTATATTTGGGGATGACATATCCTGTTCCTCTTCACTGCCTTAGGGCCTATGCTATGTTAACCGCAGGAAAGTGGTTTTACCTGCCCCCATAGGCCTAGAAAGCTCAGTCCCACCTATGGGGCTGTGTGTCCACTTGCCAGAGTTGGGGCCTGTTAGCTCTATAAGTTCACTCCTTGCCTGGCCCTGACATGGGGTCATGACAGGTGAACAAGCCCCAGGCTGGGTTGCCCCGAGGTGGTAAACAGGAAAGTCCCAGTAAGATCCAGTTCCAGGAAGCAGCATCATAGGAAAGAGAAGACGGCCCCCAGATCTCTCTGGGTTGTGTATCAGATGGCACTTGGGTGGGGAGGGGGTTTGCCACAGGAAGGAGGAGGCCAGGGAAGATCCCAGGCCTGCACCAAGCCTCAGCGTCCCAGTTCTGACTACACACAGGGTAAAAGGTTTCCGTTCTAATATGTCCAGAGACGCAAAGATGCAGGTACCTGAAATGCAAGATCTTTGCCATGCTGAGTACCTTGTGCTGCTTTACAGCCCATTCCATCTGATCAAATGCTGTTTGTAACTTTAGTGTTGAAAACTGAAAATGTTGGCTAGGTGTGGTGGCTGACGCCTATAATCCCAGCCATTTGGGAGGCCGAGGTGGGCAGATCACTTGAGGTCAGGAGTTTGAGACCACGCTGGCCAACGTGGCAAAATCCCATCTCTAAAAAAAATACAAAAATTAGCTGGGTGTGGTGGCAGGCACCTGTAATCCCAGCTACTCAGGAGGCTGAGGCAGAAGAATCACTTGAACGCAGGAGGCAGAGGTTGCAGTGGGCCGAGATAGTGCCACTGCACTCCAGCTTGAGGGACAGAGCAAGACTCCATCTCAAAAACAAAAACAAAAACTGAAAATGTCACATAGGGACTGAGGCCTTGAGGGAGAAGTTGAGAGGCACTGGGCCAAGTGTTTGAGGTAGGGTTGGGGGTCACAGGGGCCAGGCGTGAGTTTTCTGGAACAGGCCGGTAGCAGTGAAGAGAGAGGCGGGGGGACAGGGACCCCCATTTGGGGTTCTTGTAGCTCACATGAGAGCTAAGCCTAGGCAGAGACAATAAAGCAGTTGGACATGTCCTTAGTGCTCCGGAGGTGCCAAGCAGTATTCTTGAATCGCGAGGCTAGGTGGTGAACCAAAGTGAGCACCTGGAGCCAGGCAGCTGGGCCCATGTCCTGGCTCTGCTACCTGGGCAGACTTGTGGATCCTCCCAGCACCTCCATCCTTCCAGAGCATGGATAGAGAGAGTTGAGAGCCATGACTTGGGGTGGCTGAGAAGCAAAGAGGTGTGGCCAGCACAGGGCCTGTTGCTGATAAGGGTGTCAGATGGGGTGGAAGTGAGCAGACCCTTCGCGAAGTGGGTTCAGGGCACCCTGAGCACACACAGTACAGCGAGCTTGTGTATAGGATTCTCACTGCTTCCTGGTATGCACCTCATGAGGAACCGTGGGAATGAGAATTAAGGACCAAGAAAGCAGAATGCAAGTGTACCTGTCCTGGGGCTTATTACAGTGACAGCTGATGAAGCTGAAAATGCACAAGATCCCAGGTGGCTTAGAGAAAAGATGGGGTGGGCAGCCAGGCATCTCTGTCCCTGCTGACTGTCCTACCAAAACACCATGGCTTGCACATGGCAGATGTATACTACTCATAGCTCTGGAGGCTGGAAGTCTAAGATCAAGCCCTGGCAGGTTTGGTGTCTGGTGAGGGCACTTCCTGGTTCACAGACAATGCCCTCTCACTATGTCTTCACATGGTGAAAGGGGCGAGGGTTCCTTTATAACACTAATCCCATCGTGGTGGCACTGCCTTCCTGACCTAGTCACCTCCCAAAACCCCTGTCTCCTAATATCCTTACCCTGGGAGTTGGGATTTCAACCTATGACATTATGGGGACATGGGGCAGAATTTTTGGACCCCAGCATAGGCTTAGCCCAAGGCCCTTATGTGAGCTGGTAGGTGAGAAGGAAGAGGAGGAGGAGACACTGGCTTGGGAACAGGAGAGCTCGACACCTTCAGAGCCAGCTTGGGGACAGATGGAGTGGGCAGCCAGAACCCTTGAGGTAGCTTTGCAAAGCGGGGTGAGGCCTGGGGTAGGGTAGCAAGCTCAAGGTCTAGAAACACATCTCATATGAGAAAAAGGAAAGAATGTGGCTGGGGCTGTCAGCCTCTGGCAAGAGGCTGCCCACCTACCATGAGGGCTCACGCTCATTGGAGGGCATTGAGTTCCCTCATTCACCAGGCAGATTTCAGTTTGTCCCCATTGTCTCTGAGGAGGAACTCAGGACAGTGTGTCCGGTGCGAAAGGGCAAGCTTCTGTGACAGGACCGATGTCTCATGGCCCTGCCTGGCCTCTCCCACAGGCGAAGCTGGAGAAGTCACTGGAGCATCTCCGGAAGCAGATGCAGGATGCGTTGCTCTTCCAAGCCCAGGCGGATGAGACCTGCATCTTGTGGCAGGCAGGTGCTGGGGCTTCCAGGGTTCTGGGTGGCAGGGCAGGGGGTGAAGGTCCTGTATAGGAGACCCCAGGGGGCAATGCTGGCCAGGCACACTTGCCCTTGGTGCCCCAGGACCAGTCACTGCTTCAGCCTGGCCCCACTGAGCCCACTGAAGGGCTGGTCCTTCCCCATGTGCACCTGTCCTGCCAGGTCACGGGCGTGGGCTCCCATACCACAAGGGCCCCATCCTAGGGTCCCAGCATGCTTGGGTGGCAACTCTCAGGTGGATTTAGGGTCTGGGCCCTGGAAATGAATTTGCAGGTTTTGAGGGACTAGGTCATAGATGTGAGATTCAGCCATCCCGAGGAGTAGATTTGGGATCTGTCCAGTTCTGGGGTAGATTTGGGGTCTACCCAAATCACCTAGGAGGCCCTAGGTGGTGGATTTGGGATCTGGGCAGCCCCAGGGGAGAATTTGGAGGTCAGGAGGGACCTGGGTGGTAGATTTGGGGTCCAGCTGGCCACCAAGCCAATGGGTGGATTTGGAAGTTGGGGAGGGACTAGGTAGTGGATTTGGGATCTAGCCGGCCCTGGGGTTTAGATTTGGGGTCTACCTAATCCTGCATGGTAGAATGGGATTTGGCTATCCCTGAGTGATGGATTTGGGGTTTAGGAGGTGCCACAGGTGGGTTTGGGGTCTGGCCGGTACCAGGTGGTAGGTTTGGGATCCTGCCACACCTGGGGCTGTGCTTGGGTTTTAGCAGGCCCCGGGGGGGAGGTTGGGTGTGGCCCGGCCTTGGGGTGGGCTTGGGGTCTGACCAGACTTGGGGTCCGGCTGGGCCTGGGTTCTGGCCTCAGCTATCCTTCTCCCTGGGCCCCACAGAAGATGGTGGAGAGCCAGCGGCAGAACGTGCTGGGTGAGTTCGAACGTCTTCGCCGTTTGCTGGCAGAGGAGGAGCAGCAGCTGCTGCAGAGGCTGGAGGAGGAGGAGCTGGAGGTGCTGCCCCGGCTGCGGGAGGGTGCAGCCCGCCTAGGCCAGCAGACCGCCCACCTAGCTGAGCTCATCGCCGAGCTTGAGGGCCGCTGCCAGCTGCCTGCGCTGGGGCTGCTTCAGGTGAGCTGGGTGGGGAGCAACCTGTGCTGGGGCTGCTGCAGGTGAGCTGGGCGGGGAGCAGCCTGTGCTGGGACTGCTTCAGGTGAGCTGGGTGGGGAGCAGCCATGGTGGCCACACGGGCATGGCCTGACCACACTGGGGGAGGGAGAACCAGAAAGTGCAAGAAGCAGGGGCAGAGGTTGTCTGGGCTAAGAGGTTAATGGCATGGCTGGATGTGCCCGGCTCTTGCCTGTGAAACGCTGAGTCAGCAGCAGGACAGATGTCCCACCCGTCCTACCCCCAAAATCCATGTGCTGAAAAAGGGAAGATTGATTGTCCTCTGTAGATGTAAACAGGTGGTGTTTCTTAAGTGCTTATGTAAAGTTACTCCATCTCGGCCTGACTGATGCTGCTGTTCCCTGTGGGCACAGCAGAGTGGGCGTGTGCTTGCCGGGACCACCTTGGGCCTCCCATAGAACTCCTGCCATGGTGTCCCCAGCAGGAAGTCCTCTCCCTTCACTCTGTCTTCGCCCCGCTGGCACACCCCATGCATCTCCATTATCAGGGGTGGTGTCTCCTCCTCCTCTGCTTCTGGGAGAATCTTTCCCCATGTGTGGGCTCCACTACCTGAGCCGGCCCCCTGGGCCTGGGCTTTCCTTGGTGTGCCCCCAAATCAGAACCAGTGGATGCCCTGGCCTCTGGCCTGGCGGCAGGTCAGGCGGCCTGGAGTTAGCTCTCCCCCTTCGGCAAGCGTGCACTGATGAGGACTGACGGCACTCCCATGCTGAGAGGCCCCATGTGGGCTGGGAGTGTCTGCTGTCATCTTCCCATGGGGTTCAGCTGGACGTTTGTCCCACAAAATGGAAAACGTGTTCCATGCCCAGCATGGTGTAGACCCAAGGGGCCCCAAGATTCAGAGGGAAACAGGCCCCTAGGCAGTTCTGGCTCCCACAGAGGAGAGAGGTCTTGTGTGAGTGAATTCGGCCACTGGTGGGGCAGGGCTGCCAGACTCAGGTGGAGCCTACAATGCTGCTGATGTGGCTGGGCAGCTTTGCACAGGGGATGACCTGCTGCCAGCCTCTGGAGCCCAGCAGAACATCAGTCCAGGCACCAACTCCTGGTTTCGTTTGTCATTTCTATCGTAAGCTTTTTTCTGTATATATATTTTTTTAAATTATTTTTGTAGATTTAAGGGGGTACAAGTGTAGTCAGAGTGTAGCCATCCCCGTATGGTGCACATTGTACCCAGTAGGTAGTTTCCCCCACCTTCCACCTCCTACCTCTGAGTCTGTAGCATCCGCCCCTCCACTCTGTGTGCTGCATGCACCAGCTTGTACATCAACTGGCTTTGAGCCTGGGAAGCGGGAAGGACACTCGGCTAGCGTCTGTAGGAAGACTGAGGAATAAGGAGAGGGTCCTGTGGTCAGAAAATTGTGGGGTGGGGAGGTACCCAGGAGACTGAGGAGGAGCCCTCAGGGAGGGCAGAGAGGACAGGTCTTGGAGAAACCAGGAAGGGTTTAGAAGGTGAGTTGACCTGGAAATGGGGACCCATAGGGTTTGTGTGAAGATGCGATTTGGGCTTTTGGCTGAGACGTTGTGGCATGTGGGTGGGTGGGTGTTGGGTCTCATACGCCCACCTGCATTCACCCTGCTGAGTGGCCCACCTGTCCATGCCTTGACCAAGCTCCCTGCCCAGGTTTGGCCTGGCTGCAAGGCTTCAGGGGGGTCCCTCCTGCCCCCCAAACCTGCCAGCACAGAGCTGGCCTGGTCTGCATGCTGTGGGGGTCTGCCCACATGGGGGTTGCAGGAGAGCAGCCCCAGCAGCTGTGTGTTGGTGTGAGCTGTGTGCTGATTTGAGAGGGAGAGGTGGGGGTGGCTTTGCACCCTTGGCCCCCAGTTGGGTTGGGGGACCCAACCCGGGTTCCCAGTACCCAGGCCCAATGGACAGAGATTGCACAGTGGAGGTAAGGGCTTGAGTGACTCCCAGGAATCTACCCACTGGGGCCCTGAGTGCTGTAGACTCTGGAGCTCTGACTGCTGTGGACTCTGGGGCCCTGGCTGCTGTGGACTCTGGGGTCCTGACTGCTGTGGACTCTGAGGCCCTGACTGCTGTGGACTCTGGGGCCCTGGCTGCTGTGGACTCTGGGGCCCTGGCTGCTGTGGACTCTGGGGCCCTGGCTGCTGTGGACTCTGGCGGCAGACTCTACCCCCGGGGCCCTGGCTGCTGTGGACTCTGGCTGCTGTGGACTCTGGGGTCCTGGCTGCCCCCTTCAGCGAGCCCTGCTTTGCCAGCAGCCGCAGTGTGATTTTGTTCAAGTCAATGCTGCGCCTGGAGGGGCCCATGTTGCCCTGGCTGCTGTGGACTCTGGGGCCCTGGCTGCTGTGGACTCTGGCTGCTGTGGACTCTGGGGTCCTGGCTGCCCCCTTCAGCAGGCCCTGCTTGTAGCCGCAGTGTGATTTTGTTCAAGTCAATGCTGCGCCTGGAGGGCCCATGTTCTGTTCAGAGACCAAATCCCCTTGTCGAGGCCAAGGTTCTCCTCCACCCCCAAGCCCTTCTCCTGCTGCCCCTGCACCCGGCCTTGTGACAGCCACCACCTGTCTCCAAATGACACCGGGGTGGGCCACCCACCCCAGGTAGAATAACCAAGGTGGAGCTGCTCCTAGCTGCCTTGCTCACACCGGCACCATCTGCCCTTGCCCTGTGCACACCCCTCCCTCATCCTGCACACTTCCCCTCTGTCTACCAACAAATTCCTCTTGGGCTCCAGAACCCTGCCAAGAGTCTCCTCTTTATTTATTTATGAATTATTTGTTGAGACAGGGTCTCACTCTGTCACCCAGGCTGGGGTACAGTGATGTGATTATGACTTACTGCAGTCTTGACGTCCTGGGCTCAAGCAATCCTCCCACCTCAGCCTCCTGAGTAGATGGGACAGTAGACACATACCACCAAGCCCAGCTAATTTTTAAAATTTTTTTTTTAAAGATGGGATCTTGCTATCTTGCTATGACTGGTCTTGAACTTCTGGACTCAAGTGATCCACCTGCCTTGGCCTCCCAAAGTGCTGGCTTCCTTTTTAAAAATTTTTTGGGACCTAGAGTGTGTTGTTGTCCCCCTAGACAGAATTCACTACCTGTATATGTGGAAATCTTCCTTTGCCATTTCTCCTACATGCAGGGAAACCCTTGTCTGGGATTATGTCTTACTGACCTCTGCATCCTGGCCTGGTAGCTGGCACCACATGTGTTAGAATGAACATGGTGTGGGTCATCTATTTGACAGTGTGGGTTAAATCCCTGCAGTGAACTGAAGGCTGCTCTAAGAGATACAAGACCATGCCTCCTAGGAGCTGATGTTCCAATACTTGGGTGTATTGCGCCAGCTCGGGCTGCCACATTGAGTACCACCTGCCAGGAGGCTTCCCCCACAGAGACTGATTGTCTCCTAGTCCTGCACACTGAAAGACTGAGGTCAAAGCTGGTTCCCCCTGAGGCCTCTCTCTTGGGCTTATAGATGCCTTTTCTTCCCTGTATCCTCACAGGGTCTCCCCTCTGTGGGTGTCTATGCCCTAGTCACCTCTTCTTATGAGACACAAGTTATGTTGGATTAAAGCCCACCCTCATGGCCTTATTTTACTATGATTTCCTCTTTAAAAGTCCTTTTTTCTAATAGTCAAGTTCTGAGGTCCTGAAGTTTCTGGCTTCAACATACGAGTTTGGTGGGATAGACACAATTCAGGCCCTAACACGGAGTCAGGTGCTGTCATGTATCAGGCAGTGACACAGGAAGGAGGCACGCCCAGGTGTAGGGCTGAGCAGGGAGCCCACAGGGCAGGCGGAGCTGGGAGAGGGAGCAGTGGGACTGCAGGGTTGGGCTCCGGCTGGGGTGAAGGCGCCCCTACACTGAAGGCTGGGATGCTTGCCTGTCCTGTCCTTGGCACCCAGGGGCGCCCACTTGGGGCTCTGGGGGAGTGAGCTGACAGCCAGATGCCCTACATCCAAGTGTTAGGCAGAAGTGGGTCTCGGTCCGCAGGACTGGACTGCACCCCATTGGTGATACCTCCTGGCACATATGCTGGAGCCTCTGTCCAGCATTCCTGTCTGTGAGCCTTGCTGCGGGTGGTTTATGGCCCCCTGTGTATGTTTTTGCTGCCTGAGGCTCAAATGTAGGAGAGGGGGATGGGGTGAGGCTCCAGGGGCTGGGTGGGGACTCCGGGAGCAGGCGATGATCACTGACATGGAGTGTGCTGTTTCTCCTCCCCACATAGGACATCAAGGACGCCCTGCGCAGGTACGAGCCCAGCCTTTCCTGGAGGGGGTGGGAGTGAGGTGGGACCCAACTGTTGGCCATGGCGATGACATCTGGGTTGTCCCCTCTAGGGTCCAGGATGTGAAGCTGCAGCCCCCAGAAGTTGTGCCCATGGAGCTGAGGACCGTGTGCAGGGTCCCGGGACTGGTGGAGACACTGCGGAGGTTTCGAGGTGGGTGTGGAGGCCCTAGGTGGGGAGATGACTCCAGGAGGGTACCCGCCAAGGACCTGGGCAGTTAGCCACATGTTCTGTGCCCCTCCACTGCCAGCTCCAAACTCACAGTGTCATGGTGGTGGGTTGTTGGGAAAATGTCCTCTGCTCATACTTCTGACATCACTTTTGTGGGTATTTTCACACCAAACAATTCTTCACCTTTTGGAAATGAATTGGGTATCAAAGGATTCCATTCAGCATTGAATGGAACTCACTTCAGATGCCAGTCACAACTTCCAGGGGCTGCCCATACTTCTGTTCCCTCAGCCCCTCTGCAGATGTGAGCATTCGCTAGCACAGCCCACGGAACTCAGGAGAGCATTTCACTTACTGTCATTGGTTTGTTGTGAAGGATAGCACTCTGGAAGAGCCAAATGGAAGAGACACATGGACAAAGCCTGGGAAAGAGCACAGAGCTTCCCCACTCTCCCTGGGTGCACCCTCCCAGCACCCCAGTGTGTTCACCAACCTGGAAACTCCCCGAGTCCCAAGAACTGTTTAGGTGTCTTTGTGGAGGTTCCAGTTATCATTGATTAAATCATTGGTCATTAGTGATGGGGCTCAACCTCAGACCCCTTTCCCCTTCCTGAGGTCAGGGGCTGGGGCTGAGCATTCCCACCCTCTGCTGACAGGATTGGTCTTTCTGGTGGCTGACCCTATGCTGGGCTCTCAGGTCCCTACCTCAGCCACTGCAGTGGCATCAACTAAGGTGTGTTGGAAAGGGGCGTCTTATGATAACACTAGATGCTCCTATCACTCAGGATATTCCCAGGGTTCTATGAGCTCTGCCAGGAACTGGGGACAAAACCCAAATCTGATTCTTGTATCACAGTCACCCAAAGGAAGTACTGTCCTCAGCCCTGGCTAGCAGGTCAGGAGCCTGTTGTGTAGGAACTGTGTGCAGGCCTCCAGAGGCGGATAGATCTGAAATCTGGGAGTGGTCAGGGTTGGGACAGCTGCACTTACTCACATCCTTCATTTGGGGATTGAAAGAAAAAAACGGGCTGGATGCATTGGCTTACCTTTGTAATCCCAGCAATTTGAGAGGCTCAGGCGGGAGGATTGCTTGAGGCCAGCAGTTCAACACCAGCCCAGGAAACATAGCAAGAGTCCCATCTCTACAAATAAAAAACAAAAACATTAGCCAGCCATGGTGGCACATGCCTGTAATCCCAGCAGCTTGGGAGGCTGAGGCAGGAGGATCATTTGAGCCCAGGAGATCAAGGCTGCAATGAGCCATGATCGCACCACTGCACTGCAGCCTGGAGACCCTGCCTCTTTAGAAAACAAACAAAAAAGAAAGCAACCAAGATTCCCTCTTGATTTCTGAAGGCAAAACATGGACCAATTTCTAGGATATTGTAAGTTGCAATTGGACGTGGCTAGGTGGGGAGGGGATGTCCACTTGGAGACAGTTACTCCAGGAGGTCGTGAGGCTGCAGGACCCCGGGGCAGACAGCCAGGCCGTCCGACTGGGAGGATCATCATACCCACATGCCCAGGACATGGGCAGGTGGCCCCAGCTTGTCTGTGTCTGTGCCTGGGTGACCTTGGGCCTCTCTCTCCAGGGGATGTGACCTTGGACCCGGATACCGCCAACCCTGAGCTGATCCTGTCTGAAGACAGGCGGAGCGTGCAGCGGGGGGACCTGCGGCAGGCCCTGCCGGACAGCCCGGAGCGCTTTGACCCCGGCCCCTGCGTGTTGGGCCAGGAGCGTTTCACCTCAGGCCGCCACTACTGGGAGGTGGAGGTTGGGGACCGCACCAGCTGGGCCCTGGGGGTATGCAGGGAGAATGTGAACAGGAAGGAGAAGGGCGAACTGTCCGCGGGCAACGGCTTCTGGATCCTGGTCTTCCTGGGGAGCTATTACAATTCCTCTGAACGGGCCTTGGCTCCCCTCCGGGACCCACCCAGGCGTGTGGGGATCTTTCTGGACTACGAGGCCAGACATCTCTCATTCTACAGCGCCACCGATGGGTCGCTGCTATTCATCTTCCCTGAGATCCCCTTCTCCGGGACGCTGCGGCCCCTATTCTCGCCCCTGTCCAGCAGCCCAACCCCAATGACTATCTGCCGGCCGAAAGGTGGGTCTGGGGACATCCTGGCTCCCCAGTGACTCGGGCCTTCCTGGAGGAGTCCTGTTGCCTCTCCTGCCCCTCCAGGCCACTGAGTGTTTTGTCCACTTGGAGGACCTGGGAGGAGGGAGTGTGTCCTTTGAGCAAGAGGAGGAACTCCTAGTGCCTTTCTGAGCCTGCGTGGGAGAAGCCCAATTCTAGCACTCCAGGAAACTGCGGGAGGGTATGGGGCAGGCTCTGTCCTCCTTGGGAGACCCCTCCAGCCACCGGGTGCTGCTTAATGCCAACAGCCCTTACCAAAGCTGGGAGCCCCATCGCCCCAGCAGCTCTGACCTGTGGTTCCAGAAGCCAAGAAAGCTCCACTGGGGCTTGCAGAATCCAGGGTCCGCCTAAGCTGCACAGTTCCTGCAGCTTTGCCAGCCCCCAAAACTACTGTGCACCCCACCTCTGAAGATGCCGGGGGAGGCAGCCAGGATGGGAGCCAACCCCATGCCTGTCTGTGACCCCATAGTGGGTGAGAGCCTGTCACAGTCCAGGGTGTGGCCGCTCTGGAAGAATTAGGAGGCAGCCATCATAAGAGTCTTCAGATGATGGGAGGGGCCAGGGAGGACAGGAACCGAGAGTAGATGTCCCAGAATAAAGAGGCTTCTGGGAGGTGCCCGGGTACAGATGTCTGTTCAGCAGGTGTGTGGGCCTAGAGGAGACAGCACAGCCCAGAAATGTCTTCTGCAGGCCCACGTTGTGACTTGAAGCTTTCATGGGCATGTCGCCATTGGGTTTTGCCCTTGCAAAGACTTCCTAGGTCTTCAATGGCCCCTCTGGACGCAGGGTCCCAGCTGCTGCTTGGGGATGTGCACTGCTGGCCACCAGCCTTGCAGTCTCCCTACCCTGGGGACGAGCAGTGGCTGCCCAGAGCCCAGGGCATATAGCAGAAGACAGGAGTTGATTTTTGTGTTGGGTTTGGGGTTTCTTTGTCCTCAAGGTACTGTTCTGCTTCTCTTTACCCCTCTGCTTTATTTATTGTAAGCATTCCCACGTTAAATAAACTTTGGCTGTTGTCTACAAGTCATCCTGCTGGTGCCTGCTTAGTCCAGGGACAATAGCGGGTGCCCCACTGTGCCCAGCAGAGGGCAGAGCCCCAGGGAGTCTGTTGATGGGGCTGGCAGGAAGCTCAGGCAGAGTAGGGGCTGGGACGGGCAGCCACTTCCCATACCCAGGCACAGATGGGTGCTCCGCTTTCTTTGCTCAGTGTATATGTTCCTTATGTGGAGCTACTGCAGGAATGTTTTTTTGAGCTATCCTGGTAAATGTTAACTGTGTTCCATTGTGCTTAATGAGTACAGTCTCCTGAATATCATTTATTCAGTCATTCTCCCATTCTTGTATTTTTTTTGGCAGGGGCCTGTGGGGGGCATTATGTAATACCATGTTGAACAAGATCAGCAGTTTCATTCGGCTGCAACAAAGAGAAGTCTGAGTGGAACCCAGGAGTCTGGGCGTTTCTCTGTGTTGGGGCGAGGTTTTTGTTTGTTTGTTTTTTGAGACAGGGTCACGCAGGCTGGAGTGCAGTGGTGCAACCACGGCTCACTCACTGCAGCTTCAACCTCCCAGACTCAGGTGATCCTCACACCTCAGCCCTTCCAGTAGCTGGGACTACAGGCGCACACTACAGATGGGGCCATGCCCAGCTAATTTTTGTAAAGATGGGGTTTTGCCATGTTACGCAAGCTGGTATTGAACTCCTGGGCTCAAGAGATCCTCCTGCCTCAGCCTGCCAAGTAGCTGGGACCACAGGCGTACACCACCACACCCAGCTAATTTTTTTTTTTTTTTGGAGAGGTGAGAATCTCACTATTGCCCAGGCTAGTCTCAAACTCCTGGGCTCAAGCGATCTACCCGCCTTGGCCTCCAAAGTGCTGGGATTTCAGGCTGAGCCACCAGGCCTGGTGGGATGAGTATTGCCATAGCCTGTTGCCGGGTGGCTGTGTCCAGGGCTTCCCTCCAATTGAAGACTCCAGCTGCTGCATTTGTGCCTCCTGGAGTGAGGCAGCTGCCTCAAAATTGCTGATCTTGTTCAATGTGGTATTGTATAATGCCACCCATCCCCCTACCAAAAAAAAGACAAGAGTGGGAGAATGACTAAATAAATGATCTTCAGGAGACTGTAATGAAGCACAGTGGAACACAGGAAACATTTACCAGGTTATCTCAAAAAAAAAAAAAAAAAAAAAAATTCCTTCAGCAGCTCCACATAAGGACCGCACACCTCAGCAAAGAAAGCGAAGAGCCCCTCTGGCTGGTGGTAACAGCCGGGGGCAGCCTTGTGGGTGAGACCACAGGGTGCACCCAGGATAGTTCTGGCCATAGCTTTGAAATAAAGCTGCACACTCCATAAGAGAAGGGCAGACTTCATGACTCATCTTTCCAGATGTCCCCCAGCTGACTGCTGGGGCCCTGTGGGTGTCACCCATGCTTCCAGGCAGTGGAGAGATGACGGAACATGCAGGACCCTGAGCAGGGAGCTGGTCTTTCAGAAGGGGTGACAGTGAACGGCCTGAACAACTGTGTCCAGCACTATCAGGGAGCCCCACTGTGTGCAGCTTGCAGTTGACCAAATATTTAGGTTCCCCCAAATTCATACGTTGAAATCCTCACCACAAGTTCATGTTATGAGGAGATGGGGCTTTGGGGATGTAATTAGTTCATGAAGGTGATGCCCTCATGAATGAGATTAGGCCCTCTGCAATGGGACCAGCTCTGGGGGTCTGCACATCGCCAATGCACCATCAAGCATGGTCCAAAGACAGGGTCATTGTGCAGGCCACCCATTGCATGTTATCCACACCTGCCGTGCCCACCTAACAGTAACTGGCCACCCTCGGAGTGCCCACAATGTCCCGAGAGCTGCGGGACATTGTCGTGCTGCGGGCTGCGTGCAGGGTGCCCAGCACCACCTGTACAGCACCCAACCGTCCCGGTGCCCCCCGCGCCCTCGAGCCCCCTGCACCCCAGTGCCCATCTTGCATGCTGCACCCTCCCCATCTCACCCTTGCCCACCACATGCTCCCCCTGTGCGCCCAGTGTCCCCCCTGCCCCGCACCTGTAGCCTCCCAGTGAGCTCAGACCCTCCAGGGCCCACGGGTCGCCCGTGCGCCCTAGATCCCCTTATGCCGTGGGTGGCCACGAAGCCCAGTGCCTCCCATGTTAGCAGTGCCCAGAGCCTCTGGTCACCCCACACCCAGTCCCATGCACTCCAGGCACCCAGAGAAGCCCCGCACGCCCTGTTTGCTTCCACACCCCCCACGTCCTGTCCCTTCCCAGGCGCCCTGTGTTCACTGGGGCAACCCTGCCATCTGGAGGAAGCAGTGCACAGCCACTCGTGAGCCTGAGGCAGCCTCCCTGGTGCTGGTGTGGAGCTCTGTCCCCGCCATACCTTGGACCCCTGTGCTCTCCCTGCCCTACCCTGCCCTCTCCAGCCCAGAGTCACCTCTCCCAACCACTCTGACTTTTTGTAACAACTTAATTGTGGTATAGTTTTCACACAGTAATATTCAGCTATTTCAAGTGTACCATTAAAATGATTTTTACTAAATCCACCGTCATCATGATTCAATTTTAGAACATTTTCATTACCTCAAAAAGATGTCTCTGGCCTATTTCTAGTCTCCTAATATAGCATATTTCATTACCTGCTTTCCCACCACTGAACCAGTGTTAGGTTCCTGGGGTAAATCCCACTTGGTCCTTTTACTGTCTTGCTCTATGCAGTTCGCTAATACTTAAAGATTTTTACACCTATACTCGTGAGGGATATTGCTCTGCAGTTTTCTAAAAGGACAGAGTCTCACTATGTTGCCCAGTGGTCTTGAACCCCCAGCCTCAAGCGATCCTCCCACGCGCCTCCCCAGTTGCTGGGACTACAGGCCTGAGCCACCCACTGGGCTGTGGTCCACAGTGTTTTCGTTGGTGCCTTTGTGTGGCTTTGGTACCAGGGTGATGATGGACTCCTGAGTTAGGAAGCATCCTCCCCCACTGTCCTGAAAGAGTTTGGGAGGGTCACTTTCTCCCTTTATTTAATGCTCTGTAATCTCCAGTGAAGCCATCTGATTCCAGCCTTTCCCTTGTAGGGGATTTTAAATTACTAGCTCAATTGCTTTAATTGTTTTGGGACTGCTCAGATAGTTCATTTATAATGTCAGTTTTGGTAACTTTTGTCTTTCTAGATATTTACTTATTTTCTCTTGGTCAGTAAAACTAACATTAGGTCACAAATGGATCTTTTTTTTTTTTGAAACAGTCTTGCTCTGTTGCCCAGGCTAGAGTGCAGTGCCACAATCTTGGCTCACTGCAACCTCTGCCTCCCGGGTTCAAGTGATTCTTCTTCCTCAGCCTCCCAAGTAGCTGGGACTACAGGCACGTGCCACCATGCCTGGCTAATTTTTGGGTTTTTAGTAGAGACAGGATTTCTCCATATTGCCAGACTGGCCTCGAACTCCTGACCTCGTGATCCACCCACCTCGGCCTCCCAAAGTTCTGGGATTACAGGCGTGAGCCACCACACACGGCCACAACTTTTTATTTCATTTAATATTCTCTATTATGTTTCTGTTTTTTATTTCAATAATTTCCACCTTCCTCTTTATTGTTTTCTTTCTTTTGCATGCTTTGAGTTTAGTTTGCTCCTCTTTTTTTCTGAGATAGCATCTCATTCTGTCCCCAGGCTGGAGTGCAGTGGCATGATCTCAGCAAGTCTCAATCTGCGGTCACTGCAAGTCTCAATCTGCAGCGGGCTCAAGCAGCCTTCCCACCTCAGCCTCCTAAGTAGCTAGGTGCACACCACCATACCCAGCTAATTTTTAAATTTTTTTGTAGAGACAGGGTCTCCCTGTGTTGCCCAGGCTGGTCTCAAACTCCTGGACTCAAGTAATCCTCCCTCCTCGGCCTCCGGTTGCCCAGCCTCTTTTTTTTTTTTTTTTTTTGGAGACAGGGTCTATTTCTGTTGCCCAGGCTGGAGTCTAGCAGCATGATCAAAGCTCACTGCAACTTCTATCTGCTAAGCTCAAGCAATCCTCCCACCTCAGCCTCCCAAAGCACATGAGCCACTGCACCCAGCCTTTTTCTGCTTTCTTAAAATTGAAGCTTAGGCTGGGCACGGTGGCTCATGCCTGTAATCCCAGCACTTTGGGAGGCTGAGGCAAGTGGATCACGAGGTCAGGAGATTGAGACCATCCTGGCCAACATGGTGAAACCTGGTCTCTACTGAAATACAAAAAATTAGCCAGGTGTGGTGGCACGTGCCTGTAATCCCAGCTACTCGGGAGGCTGAGGCAGGGGAACCACTTGAACCCGGGAGGTGGAGATTGCAGTGAGCCGAGATCACGCCACTGCGCTCCAGCCTGGCGACAGAGGGAGCCTCCGTATAAAAAAAAAAAAAAAAAAAAAAAAAATTGAAGCTTAGGTTATTGATTTCTGATCTTTCTTCTTTTCTATTTATTTATTTTTGAGATGGAGTCTCACTCTTGTTGCCCAGGTTGGAATGCAGTGGCGCAATCTGGGCTCACTGCAACCTCTGCCTTCTGGGTTCAAGTGAGTCTCCTTCCTCAGCCTCCTCAGTAGCTGGGATTACAGGTGTGCACCACCACACCTGGCTAATTTTTGTACTTTTAGTAGAGACAGGGTTTCACCATGTTGGCCAAACAGGTCTCAAACTCCTGACCTCAAGTGATCCACCCACCTGGGCCTCCCAAAGTGTTGGTTACAGGTGTAAGCCGCCCAGCCTCTTCTTTTCTAATGCAGGAGTTTATGGCTATACATTTCCCTTGAGGCACTACTTGAGCTTCATCCCATGACTTTCAGTATGTCATTTTCATTTTCATTTGGCCAAAATACTTCCTAATTGTGTTTGAGATTTCTTCTTTGACACACAGTTTATTTTAAAGTGCATTGTTTAATTTTCAAATATTTGTATATTTTCCAAGTTTCCTTCTATTGTTGACTTTAATTAAACTCCATTTTGGTCAGAAAATGTTCTTTGTGTGGTGTCAGCTGAGACCGTTTTTATAGCCTG